CGCCGCCTACACCGAGGACTCCTTGGTGCTCGAACATCGCCAGCTACGCCAGGGACTCCTCAGTGCTCGGACCTTGCCAGCTTCGCCAGGGACTCCTCGGTGCTCGGACATCGCCGCCTACGCTGAGGACTCCTCGGTGCTCGGACATCGCCACCTATGCCGGGGACTCCTCGGTGCTCGAACATCACCAGCGACGCCGGGGACTCCTCACTTCTCGGTTCTCGGACATCGCCAGCGACGCCAGGGGCTCCTCGCTTTCGGTTCTCACGAGACATCGCCCGGCGACGTCGGGGACTCCCTCGCTCCTCGGTGCTTTAACATCGCCAATGGCAAGGCCTTGGACTCATCGCTCCTCGGCGCTCCGGACGCCGCCTGGCGATGCGGGGACTCTCGCTTTCTTCGGTTGCTCGGACATCGCCCGGTGACGCCGGGGACTCCTCGCTCCTCGGTTTCGGACATCACCACCGACGTCGGGGACTCCTCGCTTCTTGATGCCGGACATCGCCAACGACGCTGGGACTCCTCGCTTTCGGTTCTTGACATCGCCAACGACGCCTGGGACTCGCTTCGATTCTCGAGACATCGCCAGCGATGTCGGGGACTCCTCGCTCCTCGGTGCTCTAACATCGCCAGCGGCGCTGGGGACCCATCGCTCCACGATGCTCGGACATCGCCAGCAACGCCGGGGACTCCTCGCTCTTCGGTGCTCGAACATCGCCAGCGACGCCGTGGACTCCTCACTCCTTGATGCTCGGATATCGCCAACGACGCCGGAGACTCCTCGCTCCTCGGTGCTCGGACATCGCCAGCGACGTCGGGGACTTCTCGCTCTTCAATGCTCGGACATCTCCAGCGACGCCGGGGACTCCTTGCTCCTCGGCGCTCGGACATCGCCAGAGACGTCGGGGACTACTCGCTCCATGGCGCTTGGACGTCGCCCGCGACGCCGGAGACTCCTCGCTCTTCGGTGCTTGGACATCGCCAGCGACGTCGGGGACTCCTCGCTCCTCGGTGCTCGGACATCACCAGCGATGCCGAGGACTCCTCTCTCCTCGGTGCTCGAACATCGCTAGCGGCGCTGAGGACTCCTCGGTGTTCGGACATCGCCAGCGGCGTTGAGGACTCCTCGGTACTCGGACATCGCCAACGGTGTCGGGGACTCCTCGCTCCTCGGTGCTCGGACATCGCCAGCGACGCCGGGGACTCCTCGCTCCTTGGTGCTCGGACATCACCAGCAACACCGGAGACTCCGCACTCCTCGGTGCTCGAACACCGCCAGCGACGCCGGGGACTCCTCGCTCCTTGGTGCTCGAACAACGCCAGCGATGCCGGGGACTCCTCGGTGCTCGGACATCGCCAGCGACGCCGGGGACTCCTCGCTCTTCGGTGCTTCGACATCGTCAGCGACGCCGGGGACTCCCTTGCTGCTCGGATCTTGCTACGTCTCATCGGTGTGCTATCAAGCTGCTCCATCTTTGTTCGAATCGAGTCTTCGATCTTGGGCAGCACGTCTGGGGTCTTGATACGTGCTTGTCAGACGACGTTGGCAAGTTTTTAGACTTCTTTTTCTTTGACCCTGCTATAAGATTCATTCTTCATCTTTCAGCAGGCTCGGGGACTAACTGGGCACACTTTACCTTGCGGTGAATGTGTGCTTTTCTCATCTCGAGGCTACACCCAGGGACTGGCTGCCTGCTCGGCTGGTTTTCTACTTTCTGACCCTGGCACCACGTGACTACATCACCTACTGTTAGGCTCGGGGACTAGCTGTGGGGGTATGGCCCCCGATATCCTCAAGACAAGACATGGGGCGCACCATCAGAGGTGGTCCAGCCCACAAGATCAAGGCGTGCACGGCGCTACTCGGCGTGCACCGCAAGATATTGTATAGTACCAAATAAGCTACTTGGTCGTCCAGATCAATACAATACACCAAAGACACAGGACGTAGGGTATTACATCTATCAGACGACCCGAACCTGTCTAAATCGCTGTCTCTACGCCTTGTGTCACCATCCGGTTCCTGATTACGCGTATCCCCACCGATAAATCTACCATCGCGGGATACCCCTCGGTGGACTGCAGACAATATTCTATCGATAATAAAGCTTATCATATTCCTTAGAGTCAGAAAATTATTCCCACTGGTCGGATAAGTCTTGCGAGTACATTGTGTATTCAGGGTTTATTTACCCCTGTTGCAAATGATGCATGAGAAGTACCTTTGTGTGGAGGATTCTTCTGGTGGGCTTAGACGGATCCTCGTTCTTATCGCTAGATGTTTATTTTAAATTTCGCTGTTTATCATTCCGCACTCTGATATTTGGTAATGTAATAATGTAATTCTTAAGAAACTCTGATGTATGAAATAGATCAGTATTGTAACTCGTTTTTATTATTGGATCCTTAGAAAAAATGTGGATTCTTCGGGTTCTCCCTTGGGGTGTGCCCGACGGATACCGCCCGTTGTAGCCTGCTTTTGGGGTGCTTAGTGTCTGGTGGAAGATGAGCACCTCCGTAAGCGTGTTATTTCGGGCGGTTCTGCCACAGTCCGCCCTTGGCGTCACCGGCTCTCCCGTTTCGTTAGTGCTCTGGATTATGGTATGGTCGCGAGATTTGCGCCTTGCGGGCCCGAAACACAAGTGGATGGAGGATGGCTAGTTTTCGTTCGAATTCGAATTCCGAAAGGCATGGAAATGCAAATCTACGTCCCATTTGAATGATTGATGGAACAGTTTTGGTCTTTTGGTTTTCAAAATCGGATTTGAAAAAACCGTGTCGCCTCTAAATGGGAGAGATAACGCACCACACACGGCCACATGGGGTAAATTCATCCATTTTTTAACTTGGCTGAAATAGACAAACAATGCATCTGGACTTCTGGAGTTCCTTTCAATCTGATTCTATTTGACGACCACGGGAGCACTTGACGTCTATTTGGTGCTCGCGGTGACGCGGAGCAGCCGTCATCAATCAACCTTTAGGCTTACATTTGCTTCGCTGAAAAGTCAGGCTGAAAAGTATTTTTCGCTGATTTGTTGTGAGAGAAAAACATTATACCATGGCTGATAAGGCAAGTCGATAAGTTCAAGCGAACACGGGCTTGATGATTCACTGTACATCACTGGGTTCTTGTTTAGAGTCGGCACCATTAGTGTTGTATCTCGTGTTTTCTACTCTTATGTTTTATTTAAGTGTCATTGTGACTAGGTTTGTGAAAAATATTAGTAACATTTGTATTTTTAAATAAGGTTATTATAAAAATAGACTGCTAACTATGTATGGATAATGTATCCATAATTCATTGTTAATGATCTATGCATCTATTTAAAACAAGTGATAGCGTCATAGTAATCCTAAGTTTAGGGGTCTAGGTCCAACCATCAATCAACAAATTATAAAGTGCAAGGCATCAACAAGTTATACAAAACTAATGTAAGTTTAAGGACAATAGCTTTAACTCTCGCGAGCTGGTTCGCTAGCTATACGAGTTGAAATGCTAGCTCAACTCGTTGAAAAACAGAAACAAGCCGAGTCGTGCCTCGAATGAACCGAATCGAACGAGCTAACGAGATGCGAGCTTTTCGCTCAACCCTAATACCGAGTAATGAACTATGGGCCTCCTTCGACATGAGCCCTAGGTGGCCGCCCCTTCCACCTAAGTCAGAGACAGCCATGAGCATGATTATCGTATGAACAATAGACTTGCAAGGAGTCGAGCTAGAAAGAGCTCTCCAAACTGGCCTTATCACAAGAGTATAATCCTGACACTTTCAATAATAATTTTATCAAACGAATAACTGATAAGAGCTTAAACGGTGACACTATGATGTTCGACCGTTATAACAAGGGGTGAGCTAGCTCAACTTTGTTTTTAGATTTTTCTTTAAAATTACTCCATTAGTTCTCAATTTTCTTTTCAAATTAACTATGTTCTAAGTCAATTTCTTTAATTTTGACTAAGTTTATAGAAAAAACATAAACATCTACAACATTAACAAAAACTCATTAGATATACCATGACATATGTTAATATATTTTTATATAAACTCGGTCAAAATTAGATAAAACTAATTTAGGATAAAACTAAATCCGATTATAGTTTAAAATGTTGGAGTGATTTATTATATATATTATATTATATTTTGCATAATGAGCGGAGTAATCTCATTCAAATCAGCTAATTTTGTTTTAAAAAAATGGAATAGAATTAAATCAATTTTGCTTGACTTAGAGCATCTCCAAGAGACTCTTCACATCCTTCCTAAATGCTAGGAATAGATATTTTGATAAAAAAAACTACCTTCCAACAGTTTGTGTAAATAATCATCCAAATATAGCCATCTTCTATTTCGGATTTTTCGCTAGCCAAAAGTAGAATATGAGAATGACTCTCTAGAGTGCATATGAGATATAGAAAAGCTGTTGGAGAGTGAATAGATATAGAAAGCGATTTTTATGTAAATGATTTTCTAAATGATAATTTAGAAAATGGGATTTAAAAAGGTTTTTGAGATGCTTTTAGGCTAATGCTCCAAGCCTCATATGGCGGAGGGCCAATTGTTGCTATGCCTTATCTCGTAGCTTGTATTAATTGCTAAGGCCTTATTTGGATATATGTATATCCACTTCAATTTATATGTGTGAGTGGAATAAAATAAAATTTAGTTTAATTTCACTCTAATCCAGTCCACGTCGATAGAGATGAATGCGTATCCAGACAAGACCTAACTGGGCCGGGCTTCCTTTCTAATCCCCTGAGAATCTGAGATGGTTACTGTCTGTCTATTTTTGAATAACAGCAGGTGTCAAATGCAAAATATATGAAAGCGTACATTACCAGCAGCGCCCTAGGCCCTATAGCCGCCCCAAATCTCCTCCGCCGCGTCATTCTTAACTGAAACCCTAGAAGCGCTCCGCCGAGCTCCAGGCTACCGAGCTCGCCGCTTCTCGCGAAGAAAAAGCCGAGGCCAAGACAAGCATACCTCAGCGGCTTAGCCATGAATTTGGAGATCGTTGGGCGGCACGCCTTACTGTTCGACGACGACGCGACGGCGGAGGTCGTCAACTCCGGCGGCTCCCTTGTCCCCTGGGCGGCCGTCGGCGCGGCAGACCTCCTCCTCGACCGCCACGACGTGCGCCACCTGCTTGACCGCGTGCCCCCTCGCCCGCGCCGCGCCTACTCAGTGGCCCTCCTCTCCGCGCCCTCCCCCGACGGCATCTCTGAGACCGAGCTCGATCGCGAGCGCTACCTGGACCTCCCGGCTGGCGACGGCGAATACGAGGGTTCTGGAGATGCGGCCCCCTCAGGTATAAATGGATCTTCCTTTTGCGCCGCCTCTCCTCTCCTCTCTTTTCGCCTCTCGTATCTGTAACTGTCAGCTTCTGCCTACCCTTTGTTATGTTTTTGGTGTATTTGAGCTCAAAGTTTGTTCCGTTCTACATTCTGAATGTCGTTCTGCCGACTTTGTCTTGTTCTATGAGTCACAATCCTACATTTTTCGGACTCATCTTAATGAAGCCTCAAGTATAAATTCAAAATAAGTTCATTAATTGGTTGAGATTTCACATTTCAGTGTTCTGATGATCCCAGCCCTCTTGAACCAACTCTTCAAGTTTAAACTGTATTAGGATTTTTGTTTTCAGATATTTCTCTCTTATATGTGGCCTACAAGCATATCACACGTACTGATCTGTTCTCGGTTTGAATTTTTTTGGTTACCAGCAGACGAACGTAGTAGTAACTGTGTTTTCTTGCAAAGAAACAAGGTTCATAGAATATCCAGTTGTACCCAAATAACAGTATCACTGCCACATGTTTGAAGTTAGCAGTGTTCATTGTACATATGTTTTTTTTTCCATTGTATACTTTTAAGTTTGCAGGAAGGATGCTTTGATTAGTTCATGAGCATCTTTAACCATTTCAAGTAAGGGACTTTCTTCTGTTGCTTGGAAGATGTAATTTGTGCCTGCATGTTTTCTTCCCTACTCCTATTTCTGTTATTTTACTATACAACAATACTTTAGCTGACATATTCTTGCTTATCTAGGAAATGGGACAGATACTGAACAGGCTGATTATAATGCTGTTCCTTTCTCATATGGATATCCTGCTGGTTCAGATGAACCAAGTTCTTCGGACTTGTGTTATCGGCCATCATTTTATGTGCCAGAAATCTTGTTGAATAAGCTGGTGAGTATAAGCTTTGAGCTCTCACTTTTAACTATTTTCTCCAAATATGATAGAAATTTATTTCTTCTACCCTGTTATTAATCTTCTTCAGTTGATCCAGCAATAATTGTCCAGGGTGCATATGTTCTTCTAAGGATTAAATGCCTGTTTCAGATGGTTGGAGCAGAGATGAAGTTCCTACTAGTGATGCACATTGTTTCCTTGCAATGTATCTTGACGTAAGGAATATAGGCAGGTGGGATTAGAATGATTCAAGTGGTACATATAACAAAAATGAATGGGATGGCTGTCTTACGATATACCAGTTTTCTTAATATAGTAATTCATTCTGTTTGACATAATTTGTGCTTGTGTGCTCTCTAGCCATTACTGAGACATTTTTTTGCTCCCCTGTTTTAAATTTACAGCCTCCTTCTGAGAAGGCGCATCAGATAATTGCAAGAACAGCTTTATTTGTCAGCGAGCATGGGGGACAGTCAGAGATTGTATTGAGGGTGAAACAAGGAGATAATCCAACATTTGGATTCTTGATGCCTGATCATCATCTCCACAGCTACTTCCACTACCTTGTTGATCATCCTCAACTGCTGAAAGATGGTGCTGATGCTGTTGACACGGATAAACGTAATACTGAGAGTGAGCATGCTTCATCTGGCGGGGCTTTATCATTGCTTGGGACGCGATATGACTCAGAAGATGAGGATGAAGGCACACTCCCACGTAGTTCGGAAGGCATGAATCCTGGAAATAGCATGACCCCTGATGTGCAGGGCCATGTAAAATCTGCATCAATTATGCCTGACAAAAAAGAACTAGGCAAAGATCAGAATGCTGCCGCTCCTGCAGTTAAGAGTAAAACAATATTGACAAAGAAGAATCCGATTATTACTGGCAACAGCATTGTTGCTGTTCAGCGTGAAAAGGTTAATGACACAATTACAGTATCAACTACATCCAAATCACATACCAATTCAGGCTTATCTGAAACAAAAGAAATGATCCTTGAACCACCATCTTTCATGAAACGCACCATGGAGAAAATAATTGAGTTTATTCTGACGAACGGGAAGGAGTTCGAAGAAAAACTGATTGAGCAAGACAGAACAACTGGGAGGTTTCCATTTCTTCTATCTTCTAATCCATACCACTCGTATTATCTAAAGTTTCTCCAGGAAACTGAAGAGGTAATTTGAGTCACACTTGTTTATGCTTTAAGCTTGAAAGATTTGTGTTGTAGAGGTCAAAAGAAATTTATTGTCTTCACGTTACTATTTGAAGATGCCAAAAGAAGTTTATTGTGCCTTCTTTCTATTTCAGAGAAGCCAAAAGAAAATTAGTTTCCCAAAATACTGTCATGCAACAAATGTCCCATGCCTTCATTCTCATCTTGTGATAGTGATACTTCTATTTACTTAATATGAATGTTTGTCAGGTTTTCATACCTTGCATTTGTTTGTTGATCAATTATTTCATTATTTATATTCAAACCTGATTGAGCTTTCTACTACTGAATATGTTCACACAATTGATAGGAATGTTGTAATTGCAAAAATGATGGCCCTATGTTCTTCATTCATCAAGCTTCTTTTCTTGTTTAAGTATACAATTATTATTTCTAATAGGCTTAGCTGCTTTATATTTATATCATTCTTAAGTACTCTTGATGTGCATTCAAATCGGGCAACCAGGCAACCAGCATTGCCATGCTAAGCAACAGTTTTTTTTTCTGGGTCCTGCTTGCTTAAAATTTTGAGATCTTTAAAACTGATAGTGTTTTTGTACTGCTGTTCCTGATTCTTGTTGTATTGTTTTTTGCTGAGTGTCTTCTTTTTTTCTTTCTTTTTTGTTCTGAAGTGCATATGATGTCTTACACTTGATCTCTGAACTTCAGGTAAGTTCACATGTGGAAAGTATTAATTGCTGATGCACTACTTTGAGTAGCCTGTAGTAGGGTCTTTTATTCAGTCGTTGGACACTTTTCTGTTGGTCCTAATCTTGTAAGCTGGTTTCCCCAGCGTGGCTGTGGTGTGATTGTTCTAAAATTTGTATACCTTTTCACTTTCTATATAAAAGCAGGATTTTCCTCTGTAAAAAAAAAACACACTAGGAACTGAAACTTTTCGTGCAACATATTTATGACATGATTTTCTGGTGGATGTATTGTGTTCACATGAGTCAGTTTCTTTGGTTGAATTGTTGCTTACTGGCTTTCTGCATCTCTTTGCTGTTTTTTTTTAATATAATGTCTACTTTGATGATATCCTGGACATCCAGGGCATGATTTGATGTAGCTATGTTGTGCTATCCTAGTTTGAAGCACTACATGGCAATTGATTTCTTATTTTTTTGGATTTGGAAAGGTTCTTCATCTTCATGGACATGAATTGCTGATGTCTATTTTGATTAATTGAATCGCTTTCCTTGGTTCAATTGTTTCTTGAATGCATTGCTTGTTTGCTTTGCTTTTCAAGCTTATACTGCCCATTTTTTAATTATTAGTATTTTTTAGCTCGTATTAGATCTAACTCATAAAAAATATCCTGGTGGACACCCAAGAGTGTTTTGTATTCCAGGCCAAATCAATTCCTCCCCCTCAATATCTACACCCAAACAGATCCTTATAATTGTTGGTGCTTCTCTTTTATACCCTGGGAATACTAAGGTTGTGTTGTAGACTTAAGACCTTTCGCAATGCAGGATTTTGCAAGAAATACTTTAATTCCCACTGTTTGATCAGAATCTTCATGCTCTAAACATTTCACTAGCTTCTTTACTAAGTTAATGCTATTCTTTTTCCTATGATCCAATGGAAAATTTTAACTATGGTTTGTTTCTCTTTCATTTATTGATTTTGCAGTCCAAGTCACGCGATAGAAGTCCTAATCACAAGGACAGAAGAGGTTCTTCTGACTGGAGGGGCAGAAGAAGTCCTGAGAGCGATAACAGCTCTCGTGAGCGCGCCGACAGAAGCTCTCGTGAGCGCGTCGACAGAAGCTCTTGTGAGCGCGCCGACAGAAGCTCTCATGAGCGCGTCGACAGAAGCTCTCGTGAGCGCGTCGACCGAAGATGCTCAATGGAGCGCAAAGACAGCAGTTATGGCATGGTATCCAGTGCTTCTGATAGAAGCTCAGCTGGACCATCGGAGAAGCAGCTGTATGACAAACAAGGGAAGGGTAGATTCCATCCTGTTTGTGGGGTCAAGAAGGGACCTACTCGGAAAGTCACTGCAGATGAAGCTGCTGCTATAGTAATGGCGGTTACTCGTGGACTGGGTGCTGCAAATGACTCACTTAACACCATGAAAGGAACCAAGGACAATGTTCGCACCCATGTTAGTAATGATCCTTCTTCCAGCTTTGGAAGTTCTTCATCTTTACAGGACCGAGATGCACTGTCCAAATATATTTCAAATAGCGAGGCTGATGCTTCACTTACAAGTAGTGGACAGCCCCAAAAGGAAGGTTTTGGAATTATTGATGATGATTGGATTGCAAACACTATTGCAAAAGCTGCTGCTGCCGCAGCCTCCAAAGAGGCAGATTCTTCGGAAGCTTCCATGACAAAGGAACAGAAGCTGAAAACTGAGAGGCTTCGCCGTGCGAAGATGTTTGCTGCAATCATTAAGAGTGGAGACAACAAGATGAATGATTTAGCTGCAGCATCGGATCCAACCAGTGAAGCTTCCAAGGCAATTCCTGATACGAATGTCTCTGGACTTGATCTGCAATCTGTGGCTAAGGAACGTGAATGTAGATCTGCTCCGTTTGAACATGAGGGGCCAAACTTGACAAAGCATAATAAAGACTCTGATGATGAACAGAACAGAGTGCGGAAGTATAGAAAGAAACATCAAGAATCTGACGAGGAAGGAGATGAATCAGGGGATAGCTATAAGCACTCGAGGAAGAGGCATCGCCCAGAGCATTCAAGAGGCCGGAGTAAGGATGTTCATAAACATAAGCTCAAGAGTCACTCCAAGGACAGGGAATCCAGACATCACAGACACCGTTATAACTCTTCGGAAGATGGGCAGGAGCAGGAGCGTCGGAGTTCGAAGTCAAGGCATAGGCATAGAGATGATCACCACTACTCTGATGAGGAGGAACACAGGAGGTCACATAAGCATCGGAGGAGGGAGCGTCACTCCAGTTCTAAAAGGAAGCTCGAGGAAGACCGAGACCAGAGTGAACAGTCTCAAGGTCGCTTAGAAGTGTCCCCGTCTAGATCAGGTGCCAAGTTTGAATCAGACAAGCTGCCTGATGACACTGCACAATCAACTCAGGGAACAACTGAAATGCCCAGTGAATTGAGAGCAAAAATCAGAGCGATGTTGCTCGAGAGACTGTAATATCTGTATCACAGCAGTTTAACATTATGGCCTTACTGCCCTTTCAATTTATGTATTTGCTTCGAACATTCCAATTATGTGTCCATTTTATTTGAAATCAGTGACCTGCACGCTAAGTTTGTTGACCTGCTCCACATGTTGGTGTTTCTGCTGCATGCATAGGTTTGTTGTTATGACCTTCTTGAGTCAGTGGTCTACGTGTAACGTATATTTTTCAAGATGTCTGCTGAAGTCTGAAGCCAACCATTTCTTCTTGTGATTTCGGTAGATAGGAGTGTCTTTGAAACTGTGCGAGGGCTTGTTTGGAAACATGACAACCTCTTTCAGTCTATACCTATTGCAAGTTTTTGTGGTGGAAATTTAATTCATTTTCCACTGGAATATGGATCGAGTTTATCCACTTCCATCCAGATACTCGTACGGATTGAGTTTATCCAAATAAGTCCTCTGAAAAAAAAACTTTTGACTGGCTTGAAGAGAACAGAACCCAATATTTTTGAAACAAAACAGAACCCAATATTAAGGCACCGATGCATGCCGATCATCCAAATTCCAACCAAATCCATCCATCGAGTTGAATCCGATCCAACCCAAACCAGTAGTCCGTCAACGGGGTTGGTTCCGTTTTCCGCACCTCCGCCCCCAAAGCTGACCCGCCGCCGTGCCCAAAGCGCCAACCACAAACCACCCGAACCTTTACCACACCGCAGTCGCCTTCGCCTGGCTCGCATCTCAGCCGTCCATCAGCGTAGGCGCGGACCCGAAACCCGCCGCAACAAAACTAACGACTCCCGCACACCCGAATGGGTCGCAAGTCGCAACCCACGCTGTGGCTCCGATCTGCTAAGCTAAGCCCCCGCCCGGATCGGGTTGCGGGTCGCCACCCCCCGACCCAGATCCATCACAGCTCGCCGCCGGCCGCCGCCGCCGCAGAGGTTAGTTTCAAATCACTCAACTCCGTCTCCTCCCCTTCTGTTTGTTCCTCCTTAACGGATCCGCTTACCGGGGCCATAAACCCTAGCTAAAAGGCGCGGTCTGCGAGCTGTTTCACGCCCGATTTCCTAGGGTTTGACTGTTCGAGCGCGGGGACTGGACCCCGCTGGGTTTCGATCTGGCCGGGGGGATGCCAGGTCACTTGCTCGCTCCGGCTGATTGTGCCGTAGTTATGAGGGATTGGGGATCTGCTTGGCATATGCAAGGGGATTTGCTACTCCCAGCTGTATGTGCAAGGGGATTTTTAATGGTGTCTCTCTGAGGTCAGAGGCATTCGGTAGTGCTTGTGCAATGTGCTTGCTCAGCGTCTCATTGCTTTGCAATCCGAGTTAGGAGAGAGCTTGGCAAGATTTTAGTCTGGTTATGGGTGAAAGGCTGCCGATTGATTTCCAGTTTATGACGAAAGGTATTGGATATATGCATTCTGTATTTAGTTTTTGCTACCCTTTCGTTTCTGGTAAAAGGAGACAAAATTGAGAGCTTTTCCTTTGGTATTGTTATGTATGATGTGCTTCTCGCAATCAAATAAAAAAAAGTATGATGTGCTTCTCTGTATGTGCTGCAGTGTGTGATCGTGTACGCGGTAACATGCTGGAGCCAACGGCAATGGAGGTGCCCATTGCTGGCTCAGTGAGCAATGCAGTGATGCCTGCGCCTGTGGTTCACAATCCACGGGCACGCAAGCTGCGGTCTGCTGTTTGGCAGGACTTCACGAAGGAGCGTCGTGCCGATGGTAACTGTGTGGCTGTCTGTAACCACTGCAAGAAGC